AGCAACATTTAGGCTTTTCTCTTCTTTTTGGAAGACATGTATGGGGATGCAACATTCTCTGGAGTAGAAAGTTCTCCCATTTCCTAATTGTGGCCATTATTGGTAATGGCTCTTTGGCTGTGATTTCTTTTAAAATTTCTCTATAGGTATCATGTTATCATGAGACTTCCATGTCCTGGAATATTCCTGAGCCCAGAATTTTAAGACAAGTTAGAAGTTTGACCACAGTTTAAAGGCCTGTATTACCTGCAATACTAGATCAGCTTAACACACCATTTACAGCAACTATTTATGGGGTTTAAGAAACTAAGAAATCATGAAAAAAAAAAAAAAAARWWAGTTATTTTCTCATCACAAGGACAGCTTTTCCAAGATTTTGGCATTCCTCCACCAGAATATCCCCTGCTCAGCTTCACCAATACAAAGYACATACCAGGACAGCCAGTCAGGTTGGCCTGAGCTTTTCCTAGTGGAATGCTTAGGCTTAGCAACTGTTACTGGGCACATTGCTGAGCTGAACATGTTAAAAAAGAAACACCCATAGATATGATTTACTTGAACATCTTCCTCRCTTTGGCTTTATGTTTCCTTTGTGTGTGTCTCATTCAATCTCAGGCTTTACTGCTTGCCTATTTTCTGCCAAGAATGTGAAGACTGTTGTCCGATTTTTTTATTAAAACCACTGTGGATGTTGTTAAGAACCACTGGTGCATTTTATATACAGTGCGCTGTATTACTGTGATTTCTCAAGAAAAATCGAGTAGGGTAAGAGGAACTGGGAGGATGGAAGCAGAACAGTTATCTGTCAACATCAGGTTGCATATCAGGTTATCCAGTCACTATTTTCTGCCTCCAAGAACAGCTTCCCACCACAAAACACTCCCATTGCATAGTTCTGTCAGAGTGTTTGATACAGTGAGGCTGAATCACATGGGGACCTGAAAGAGCAATCTATAGCACTGCATACTGCACCTGGACAACATGAAACTCTCCAGAACAGCTAAGGATCTCAAAGGCTTCTCAGGGATGTTATTGATGGAAGAAGGCCAGGACAAGTTTGGGGGAAAGAGAAAAAAGAAAGGAGTTACCAGATCATAGTTAATCACGCTGGAGATAGCAGCTAGAGACAGCTTCCAATTTCTTAGCAGTATTTTCACCATTAAAGTTTCCTAAAAACAATAATCAAGGAGAAATTGAAACCTGTAAGAGAAAACCACACTAAAAAATGCACTGCCACAGGGTTATGTTACAGAAAGTGTGTGGACCTTTTCTTCAGTGTGTGAAAGCCTGAAACACACTATGCCATTTTAAGCAGTCTGTCTCTTTTATACAGAAAAACTGCATCACTGAACTGGCAACAGCGTGGCAAAACTGCAGAAACACCAGGAGCAGTTTTCTTCCCTCTCATATAACTAAAGGACATTTACAACCTCACCTACAAATTAAAAAACAAACAAAACCCAAGAAACAACAAAAAAAAAAAAAATCACAAAACCAAAAATAATCAAACAGGTTTGTTCAGGAAGAGAAATAAACTGCACTTCACTACATTAATTTACATTAGCAACAAACCATTTTCTCTCTGATTTCATTTAGTTACCATGATCGAGTTGCTAGTTACTTTTWAATCTCCTGATAAAGTTTGATTTAGAGCAACACAAAACTCTTTCACTGGGATTTTCAGTTCCAAAAAGAATAAAGTCATTAACAGAATTAATGGATTCTGGTCAGTTTGCATTGCCAATCTTTCTTTAAAAGAAACATGCTCATTACCATGTTGCATGGAAGAAAACCAAATGAATGAGCAGGAAAGAATTAATATACTTACAGAACATGAAATTTGACTCATCTGGCAGCTGAAGCCATGCTCAAATTTTTGTTCAGAATTTTTATATTCATTATCTATATTGCTGYTTTATTGAGAGCAGAACTCTAGTTGTCAATGCAGGAAGTTTGCTTGTCAAGGGGATTTACTTGGAAATAGGTCATGTTATGATTTGCAGTCTTTTCCTATWTAGAAAAAAAAAGCACTTGGATGCAGCACGAAAGTTTTTCTGATTGCACAAGCTACACTCTTATCACAATAATCTCCCAACAGCAATATATCCTGTCAGCATGATATCCTGTGGCTATAAACTTACCTCTCATTCCTCAGCTCACCATTTACCTGTCAGAAAACAATGAACTCAGTGTTGTAAGGTAATCCCTACACTCAATCAGCTGTAAAAAAATTAGCCTACCTTTTTAAGATACTCACCATGCAAACTTTGGCTTCACTCTTYGCACTTTACTCTTAAGCCTCATTTAGAATTGTGCTTGCAAGCACTTTCTCAGTGAAAATCACACTGCAGCTGCAAAGCCCTCCAGACATCACTCTGTAGTGGTCCACAATTCTTCACATGCAGCTGAACATTCTAGAGTATCTTGAGTTGTAATTTTGTGCATGAGAGCACTGGAACACGCAGATACATATAACACCTGCACTTTTCAGAAATGCATTTATAGGTTGYTGTCCAAAGATTTATTTGCATCAAGGTGCCCACATTTTCATTTTTACACTGGCTGCACATAYATCAACACACTATTGTTCTTCCATTTGTCCATTTATACCCATGCAGCATTCRTCTAATCCAGAAAGGCCTCCTCTGCTCCAGCCTCCCAAGTTTTCAAATATTTCCTTTCAGACACCATAGCTCTAGTCTCCTTTAGACTTAATTCTTCCCCTGTCCTTTTCATCTCCCTGAGAGCTTTCACGTAATTMCAGTTTTCTTATCTGGTCTCTARGAAGTTTTATTTTTCTCTAGGTGTAGCCCTTGGTTCTCATAATTCATACTCATGCTGCGTTGACTCTACATTGCTCTGATGGACTTAAACCCTTCATCCCTTCTCTTAGCAATGCATCAGTTAGGAAAAAAAGACATTTGCAGCATCCAAAACCTCAAAAATTGTTATTGCAGCAGAAAGAGTAAAGCTGACATGACTTGCAAAATGTGCTCTCCCTAAAAAATGAAGCAGAGGTTGCAAAAAAACTGGCAGAAATGAGCATTTCACACATTATCAGAACATCTCAAACACAAGGGTAAGGTGTACAGGTTTTCTGAGGAAAGAAAAACCCCAGCACAACACAAATTTCCTAAGCATTTTCAACTAGCTTTCTTGTCAGTGATTTCAACCTTCCTTGCAAGGAGACAGACATTTCTCTCATTACTGCTGAGGTCTAATTTTCAGGCAAATGCGCCCATTAATCCATACTTCAAATACAAGTCTGGGGCTTGTGTATCATTATTCAAACAAAAGCCCTAAAGAGTGGTTAAAAAAACCCTGGTGCTACCATCCASCTGAAAAGTTAATACCTTACTGACTTAAGTACACAACTAAACATCACAAAGCCTATCCTACACTGATTCAATACAAGCAGCAAAAGGAAGACAGCAACACCCAAGGGCTGATCCTACAAATCCCTCAAGACAAAATATTTTAAAGATTTTCAAGAGAACATTTAGGAAAGAAACCAAACAAGTTCACATCCAGAAACTCCACAGCTCCTACCTAAAGCAAGTACACTTTACAGTTTTACATCTTTAAAAATGTCCGCGCACTGCTTTACAGAAGTTGGTAGAAYACATAAAGACAAATTCAAGATTAATTAAAAACAAAATTATCTTGGTTAGTTTTATTTTGCCGGAAAATTTCTCAAGGTAATTTTGCAACACCAATATTTATGAATACTTATGCTGCTATTTTTCAAGTTTCTGATGCAGCCTAGATGAGGTTACAATACTGCATGACTGCTGATTATTTTTTAAGRTAAGCAAGCATAGGAAAAATTAATGTAAAAGTGTTCACAGAATTACATGCTGACAGCCCTGCAGAGCTTACTTATAGATCCCTACTCAATATCAAAACAACAAATGCAGATGCCCCTCTGTGCTTCAAAATTCTTGGATCATCTTCAGACAAGAACTGCTATTCATTTTCCATCCAACTTGTTTTCATCAGTTTTCAACCAATTTCTGTGCTAGTAAGAACAGAACTAAATTCACAGGACTTCAAGATTTTAAAGCCAGAGATTCTTAGCTGCTGCCATTAAAGAAACATTAGATGGGAATCTCCCAAAATGAAAAGCTCTACCTGAATAACCACCAGTGAAATCTGTAGTTACTTGCCTGCCAAGTTTCAAAGGACCAAAGTGATTCACCAACTCCATAATATGCTTTTGGAACATCCAGTTTCAAGTCCTCTTAATCTGGAGTTCACTTTAGATCAAAAATGCAGGCAGACCCTTCCCTTCTTTAGTTGATCAGGCTTACTGGAACAGATTAATTTCCAAATATGCAATGTTCTCTTAGCTGTGCTAATAAAAGTTTAGATGCCTCATCTAAAAACAAATTATGTATCTTCAGTACAAAAAAAATGCACCCTATGTGGATATTTACGTACACGACATGCCAGAATCATAGGTTTTCCAATTCATGGGAGGAAAAAAAAACCCTCCAACCCTCCCTGCCGACAAAAACCAACCAACAAAAAAAAATAAAAATCACAGTCCACCAAGTGGAATCACTTCAAAATTCAATTATAAAATCCCATTGACTTCATTGTGACCAAGTTTTCAGTTCCATGCCATGTACAGAAATATCCCTTTAATTTGCTCCCATTAAGACATACTAAAATTAGTTTAAGTTTTCTTCCACCCACAAAGCTCTCGTAACAGAACTCRCCCTAGAACTCATACTTAACTCCAGAGGTGTTTTCATGTTATTATAAAATGCGCTAGAGCAAATGTATGAACTCTGCATCTGTTTTGCTAATCCCTTCATTCAGACAGGAAGATCTCCATAAAACAGCAATCTATACTTTCTCTCTTCCCATTATGGCTGCTGYACAGACATATTTATTACTGTACTATGGGAGACAGTCCATTTCAATCCTAAATTACGTTCATTTTCAATACAGTTGTTTTTTTCTTACTACAAAAACTATAATGGAAAAAAGACATGAATTCACATTGTATGGAAGGTTTTATTGATTGCTAAATTGCTGTCACTTACATCAGGTATAGCATTTTAATTCCAATCCAACAAAAGTAAAAATAAGCTGCCCTTTAAGRCTTGTTTCTCTAAGCCTTTCAGTTGCCAAATATGCATTGTTGTGCACAACCTTCATGCTGCCAGCAAAAAACAGCATTTTAGCTGCACAGCTTACACTGTATGCTTCAGTATACAGCAAAGAATGATCTGAAAATTCATCACTTTTACCAGTTACACTTTTTTATGTTACAAGCAAAACCAATTTTCTTACTTCTCTGCAAATATATGTACAGTATAAAACAAATSTCAGGGTTTGTGGCAGAAATTATTTGATCCTATACAGAAGACATCAAATTTTATGAAATTAAGGACTGTAATTATTTTTTGTGATTAGACTCCCATCAATATTACTTAAACTAATATTGCAGTGTGACCCTTTCGAGAACCATGGAAAATACATCCAGTAGATCAGATCCTCCTCTTTTGCTCCACCTTATGACTCACATGGACAAATCCAATGTTACTGTGTATCCTACACAATCAGGCTTATGTGTGTCACAACTGACTATCCAGGCTTACTCTGCACTAGAGAATAAKTTGATGAAATTAAAATCTTGATGCAACATAAATAATACTTACAGAAGAACAGGTATTGATATTCACATTACTGTCAAGTGGAAGAAAAAACTGCTGGGAAGGAAATGAACAAGTAAATAAAATTTTCAATAATACACTTTAAAAAAAAATCATTCTTAGAACTGGGGCAGCATATCCTACAGCCTAAAAGGAACGTTATTATCCCAAATAACAGTGCGCAGCCTTTAATTTATAAACAAAATCTTTACTGAGGGCACAAAAAAGAAATGCTCTGGTAACCACTGCCCCAAGATGGCAGATTCCTGCAGAAGTCCAGAGAAAAACACACATTCTTAAGGAGACTTTCTGGTCGCTACAAAATGATTTAGAGTGGAATAAATGCAGTTTCTAAAGCACAGTGCCAGTACAGAAAAGACATGCTACAACTCTGGGCCATAGACAGAGCTGTAATTTCTCCTGYCTCATTCCAAACTACCAAAAGAGACACTTCTTAAAAAAAACAAACAAAACTAACCAAAGAAATCCTCAACAATCCCACCTCCTTTCAAGTAAGTTGTTTCTCTCCACTCTGCTTTCCTAAAGAGGATTTCACTGTGAGCAGCCTAATTTTGTGTAACACCACTAATTCATTGATTTCTGGAATGAAGCCTTAGTAGCAGTATACAGCATGCATAAACCACAGCCTGTATTTTTAACTGTTATGTTAGTTAAMATGGAAGGAACTGTAATAAAAAAAAACTAATTTGTAACAGATAAAAAAATTCAAATTACCACCCAAATAAAAGCTGCTTAATCCAACTCATAAATACCAAATATTAYCCTTCCTATTTTGTGAAGTTCCTTCTGACAGCAGCTGTCTACTAAAATTCTGCTATTTATGCAGTATGGACTCCCTTAAAATGACACTGTCAATCATTCAGATTATAAATACAAGACCTCCTATGCATCATAAAAAAGACAAAAGTTCTCATAATATAAACAACATTCAGTCTTACTAGCTTTTTGTAAATTACATTGCAAATAACTCATTTTCTAACGTAAATTCTTTGATTTGAAATAAGTAAAACTGGTAGAGAATAGAATTATTGTGAACTGCTTGATATCAATGCTTGATATCAGTGAGGCCACAGATTAACTCTCAGCATCAATCCAGCATAAAACTGGCCAATGCATCTATTAACACTGCTAGCAAAGTTGCCAATATTCTCCACTGCCCKGTGAAGAGAATGAGTTTAAGAGCAGTACACACAGACAGTAGCAAGGAGGCTTACATGTTTACTGCTTATTATGTGACTATTTGTAAAGYCAATGAAAGACTTATCCCTCCAGAAGTACAAATTATCTTTCAGTAACAGTTTTTTTWAAATTCCTTCCTAAGATCATGGGAAGACAGCAGCCTGTAAAATTAAAAATTAAGGCTTAAATGAAGTAAGAGCTTTTCATCAAGCTCAGTTTTAAAAGTTCACTGCACTCTGCTGTCATATATGCTTTAGATAACTGGAAAAAACCAATAGTTCATCTACAAAGAAAGTCAACAGGTCCTAATCCACCCTGCAGCGACTGTGGACAGTATGATTTGACAGTGGTCCTTGCTACAGAAGGCCCTTTCTGAACTAAGACAAATAAAGATGAGTGCCTCCATTTGAAAGATTTCATGGGGAAAGAAACACTTTGAAGATCCATTTCATTCAATACYACAGCACCGGCAGTGCTCAGTGACCATGTTTATAAAGTAAACTACCTTATTATTGTGTTGTCCTGCTTGTTTTTAAATTACTATGTAACTCTAATTTAGTATAGACTTAACCTATGTACAATAAACAATGATGGTCTAAAATCTGAAAGTGTCCCCAAGAAATTCCCAGGAGATGACTTCTATGCATAAATTTGCAATTAACTTTTGAAGTCAAGCAAGGGTGTTTCAGAAAATCTAGCTCATCAAAATATTTTTACAAGAATCTACTGAGTGTAAGTCTAAAAAATAATCACCTGCACACCTATCTTTTTCATTTTTTTTCTATCATGCTCCACAAAATTAACARCTGCAACTGGTTTGCTGGAATCGCAACAAAAAAAGACAAAAGRAAAGAGGAATAAAATTTATTATAAAACATATTGAAATAGCAATGTCTTAGCAGACTTCTTGCTCTGCTGTTCTAGGCAGAACAAAATGTGACTGAATGCTCTCAGAAAAGCCAAAACAAAATTACAGGGGTAGTATGTTGCTGCACTAGAATCGCTTTCTCTTGATAATTTCTGGTTTCCAGCTGACAGGATGCGTTTCTTCAGTCTAAAGGGAAAAAAAATAATCGTATAAAGATTATTTTAAACTTGAAGTTCACCTATAATTAAGGTTTAGTTAAAAATATTACTTAGGAAGTATATGTACTCTATTTCATACATGGCATTATAAATACCTGATCTACAATATAATCAATTTACCCAAATTAGATTTTCTATCATCTCACTGTCTAAAACACATAGCAGAACTTGTTCTGTTCTTGTCTCTTTTTTTTTCCAACAAGGAAAAATATCAGATTGCCAAGGCATTCCCAATACAACATTGTGGTTATCAAAGCACATGAACAGGAGTAGGCATTGACAGGCCTTCCAGAGACATCTGCAACAGTATMTTAGTAGATGTCATCGAGTCTGCAGTTTGCCCAGCTGCAAAATGGACAAAACATTCCTTATTCTTTGTATCTAAKATTTGCTCCAAGTCTAATTCAGCACAAAAATTCCATTGTTTAATAAAATTYCTAATATTCTTTACATTGAAGCCATACACTGATAAACTATACAATTATCTATTGTCTTCTCCACTAGTAAATTAATTCAGATTTTAGAGTAAGTTTGAAAACAAGCTATTTACTCTTAATTCKTTAAAACTGTGAAAGCCAATAACTAATTATATCATATAAATAAGTACAATAAACTTTTAAAGTGCAATCCTTTTACTTACTCCCATTTTTATATCAATATAACCACACACAGTTCCTCACTGGGTTCAAAAGCCAAAGTACATTATCATATTCAGATTTCTCCAAACTTCACCATAAAGACCTTAAACAGMAGAGTTCACAGACCTGACACTTAGTAGTACTACAGCATAGAGTTTAGGAATGCAGAAATTAGCTACYGTCCTTTTAATGCTATTACGTATTTCTTTCAAACCTCAACAAAACAGATTACATGTCTGAACATGTSCCCTACTAACATGTTCTATTTGTCTGAGTTTTTTGGATTTTATGAAAATACTTTAAAAAAACACTTTGACATACCGCAGTATCATCTTCTTTGTATACTTTTATGGTTTTATCAGCTTCAGCAGTTAGCAATCTGCTTTCTGACTGGTCAAAAACACAAGCAAATATTCCTGATTCACTGTCCAAAGATCCTGGCTGTACAGCTGCATGTACTCTCTGGAAATTGTATCCAGTTCTCCAGTCCCAAAGATGCATAGTACCATTATCAGCTGCAACAAACAAACAAACATAGAAATTTAACTGGTCAAAATGCTATCTATTTTCTAGAAACAGCAACATGAATAACCAGTAAATACATCAGGAATGCATCATATAACATTCATGTGAAATAGCTCAGCACACCCTACAAGTTTTCCTATTTTCTGCTRTTTTCCTTCCTCAGAATCTCATCCATATTTTCATCAGATAACCCAGAGAGATRATACATTACATCATAAGGCAATTGCAGCAAGTTGCTTTGGAAGCACAGTAAGGACTGGATTCTGAGGCTCAAGCTCCCTGATTCAGTAGCTCCACTAAAGCTGAATGAAGAGGCATCATCCTACCAAGGTGATTAAGGACRTCAAGGACTCTTACATAATGCAAAGTAGGTTTAATGTTTGCAGATGTTTTATTCCAAATCCAGTTTAAATCACTGCCAGTATTGCTGCTGGGGGTATCAACTACAGGGCATTCACAGCTATCTGAACTCTCTATTCAGGAGGATACTCTCAAGGTAATTTTTCAGTTACAAAAACCAATACCCTTCCAAAGCATTATCTAGCCAAAACAGTTCCATTAAAATTTAATTTTTCCCACAGTTGCCCAGTAGATAAGAAATCCAGATGYTTCATGAAGGGTGTTTCTACAACAGAATATTCCAAGGAAAAATCAACTTATTTTATTTCAGCATCACCTTCTTTGAAGTTGCTATAGACAGCATGAGGATTAAAGAGGAGAAATGATACTCAAGTTTTCATTTTTTAGAAGTCAYAACTAATATTATTAAAATAATAGTGGGKTTTTTTCTTTGGAGAAGGTATGTTWCAAGACTCAAACTACTACTAATATGAAAAAGTCTAACAAGGATGTTCTAAAAGCATCTTCAAATAATAATGAAATATAAGTCCATCCCAGTATTTTGCAAAGAAYTTGTTCTTACTGTGAATGAGTCAGYTGKCAAACACAGCTTCAGACAGATTTTAAAAAGGTACCTTTTACACATAGAAACATAATCATAGTAAGGTAACAGTGTAATTGGCTGYTTTTCAACTGCTGCTTAGCACATTTCCATCTTACTCCACATCCCCAGCCTCCAGGACATAGTGTATCAAAGTGGACCAAGGGCACACAGGACCAAGTGCYTCATTCCCTATCAGCTTTAGCAAGRGGTTTCTATATCCTTTATCCAGTCTCAGTGCATCAACGTGTGGCTAACACTTGAGGAGGCACTGATGATCAGCAGACCCTAAAGGATGGACTCTGGAGCCTTGCAGCAGCAGGCAACAGAGAAGACGAAATCTCTTCCAGGTAGCACATTACAAGTCCTTCATTTTATTTGCACACAGCTCAGAAACACCGAAGAAGATAAAAGCGGCCCTACTTTGAAGTGAAATGGTGTGCTGCAGCAGGCTTACAGGCCTAGATAAAGCAGAGCTCAGTGAGTCCTGCCTAAGGACTTCCAGCCACATGTACATGGGGGAGAGAAGAACGAGTATTTCTCATTTTTACCTCCTGAGACCAGAACACCATCGGAATTTACAGCCAGTGTGTTGATAATAGCATTGTGACCAGAGAGATTCTGAATGAAGTTTCCATCTGGGAATTTCCACTGCTTAATATTATCTGGAGAACCAGATGCAAATGTGTAACTGAAAGAAAATAAACACAGTATATTAAAACTCAAAACAGCTGTAGTGAGAGCAAATGTCCTTCATTAAAAGTACTGSTAAATAATAGTTGCAAAATTACTTCTAATATTAAAACTACTTCTCTGACATGTTTATTTCACATKAAATTAAGCAATTTTATGGAGTCATGAGTTACCTATTCCTGTTTTCTTTCTGCTTCATAGACTAAACTGTAACATCCTTTGTGGCGAAGGATTTAATATGCAAACAAATATTTTAAATGCACATAAAGTTCTTCTCAATTATTGTTCTGCAAATTTTCAGGTATACGGGCATCATCACCAAAGTTAACAGGACAAAAAAGCAACAAACCCCAAGCACGGGCTAATGGCTAGTCTTTCAAAATTATATAAACAAGGAAAAAGCCCTGCAAAAACATGACTAAAAAAGATAATTTCTTCTACTGAGTAACCCTAAAATAAMAATTTTCCTTCATTTTTAAGATGTGCAAACAATTACATRGTTATTTGGGTAGAACATACAAAAMCCTGTAGGAATCCTTTCAYTGCCCAGGCAAATTGCTGTCTATTTAAAAGATACTATGAATTAAAAAAGTGAATATTACAAGAAAATACCAGAACATTAAAAAAACCCAGAAATGCTGAAATATAGGCTGACATTTGCTACTGTCTGACAAGAATATATCAAGCTTATTTTCAAAACGGTATAACAGATGAAGCTGAAACTGGAACTACGTTTTTTTTTCATTCAGAATGTAATAAACCTCTAGTAAAACTAGAGATTTTTTCTATACCTATTACTAACAGGCTATACAGTTTTTCAGGCACACATTATATCAGAGTTTACTCATATCAAAGATTCTGAGTTTCTGATAGAAATGACAGAATATAATTTTAAAATATTAAAGGTGCAGAAGTACTTAAGTTCTATGTGAATTCCTTTTCTCCATTGTCTTAATAGGGATTGATCCAAACAGGCAAMCGTTGTGCATCAAAATATAGCATCTAAATTCAGAGCACTTCCAAAAACATCTGTTTCAAAGCTTCACATCTGACAATAGGTTTTCTTTTAAGGCCAGTTAGATTGAAATGTCTTATGTAATGAACCACATATTAAAAAAAAAAAAAAAGGCCATGCCATTAATGTCTTCTTTAATATTAATCACATATGTGCAATGGCACATAAAACAATTACACTTTCTGCTCACAACCATTCACTTACATATTTATTATTAGCCTTACAAGCCTTGTATCACTGATCTTTAAGGACTGAATGAAAGGCACGCACAAGTAACTGTGGAATATAAGACATTCTTAGGACTGTCAATGTACACCAATGCCAGTATGAAGAAAGCACAATCAGTGCAGTAAAATGTATCTAAAAATGGGTATGTACGTTTTTGCATCATCCTAAGTGCATTGGTTTCTCACATTATTATGCTCTACCATTCTAGATCATCATTTACATTGGCTCTCTTCACCTCTCAAAGCCTTGAACTTGTGGAAGWGTAAAGAATGAAGAAAACTTACTGTCTTGGATGTAGCACTACCGCTCTTACAGATTTCTTGTGATTTGTTAAAGTAACACGAGTTTTTCCTGCCACCAAGTCCCAGAGCCGTATGGTAGTATCATGACTGCCTACAATGAAAAGAAAATTTAAAAAAAAAGTAGAAACAATCACCTTCATTCCATCATAATCATTACTTTGATAAAGCCAAAATGATGTGAAAGAGACAAAAATATTCTAATGCCACCTCAAATGAWGAAGATGCTGGATTGCAAAATCTTTTCACCTAGTTTGAAATTCAAGAACAAAGGTGTTACACTGCAAAGCCAGACTGTGACCCAATAAGAAGACAAACACTTAACCATGGTACTGGACAATCCTTAACTAAATTGGGGAGAACTGAAGTATCACAGAAAATGCAAGTCTCAATAYACATTATAACACAAATGCAAACACCAGGGAAATGTTCAAACAATGCACAGCCATATTTGCTTAAACCTACCATTAGTAGCATGTAATAACCATTGCATGGCCCATTTTCAACAGAAACYAGTAAGAGATATTGACTAAATTCACAAAGATAGCATTATGAACATCACACAATTACTGAACAAACACATTCATCACAAGGTTTTTCAAGCATGTTACTCATGAAACCACACTTACTATACCTGTAATAATTTGTGGTTCTGCAGCTTGGCACTTCACAGTCGCTACTGCATTTGTGTGTCCTGACAGTGTGTGCACACTGGCTTTCGTCCTTACATCCCAAATCTGTGAATTCACAGTAAATATGTCAGAGATCAGTAACAAGTACATATTCAATGTATTTTAGGCACTGTCACTGACCACATGATTTCTTGCCATGGTCCTACAAATTAAAAAGTTATATTAGTGGTATTTTTCATCCAACAATTTATCACTAAACTGCTTCAGCTGGCGTATTTCAAGGGGAGCAGGGAACCTGCCAGTGAACTTCTAGGTGTATGGATAATTTAAGTCACTATAGACTCATACCACTAAGCAATCCCACACACACTATGTAGTCTACCTACTAAATTAAGAAATAAGACATTATCCTGAAGTGACATGGCATGTTTGTGCATTTGGGCTTCAATTTTAACAACACTGTAAGACAAAGCTAACWCAAATCATCTTAGAATTTCATCTAGACTGACTTTTGCAAAGTGATCATTTTTACAAATGGAAGATATTGAAATACACATATCAAGATGTTAAAACACAARAATGCTATACTTACTCGTGCTGTTGAATCTCTGCTACATGTCACCAGSACATCTATCGTTGGATGCAAGTCTAAGCCATAGACAGCACTTAGATGACCATGGTAATGTCTGATAACCTAGATGAATAAAACCCACACACACAAACTCATAATTAAAAGAACATTCTAAATGCTTTGATTTCTGTATTTGCTACCACCAATTCATTCAAATAWAGAAACTACACCTTACCTTATTGTATTCAAGATCCCAACATTTCACTTGTTTGTCTTCTCCACAAGAAAAGAGGTATGGACTTCTTGCACTTACTATCACCCCTCGTACAGTACTGATGTGTCCCGTCAAAGACAATTTCAATTTGCCACTAGCAAGGTCCCAAATCTGCATCAAAATAGGTATTTTAAGGCAGACAGGAAAAAGTTACACAGTGAGACTGGGTAAACAGATCAGATGTCAGTAAGTTAAAAATACAGTCACACAAACATTTGCTCTCCAGATACTACCATGTAATAAATAAAATCTCAAGAACTAGTGCCATTTCACAAATCCTTTATGACAAGGCAATAAAAGAAAAAATGTTCCATGATTCATTATTCTGCAAACAGTAAACAAGAGATTGTTTCCAAGAGCTGGTGACATTTTTAAACAAAAAGGGAACAAAAACCCCCCACCTCCTGCAAACTGTTAGTAATTTCTTCCAACCTCTTACCTTTATRGTTCTGTCAGCAGAGCCAGTAACAAACCACTGATTTCCTGGTTCTACTGCAATACATCTCACCCAGCCCAGGTGACCACTGATAACCTTCAGAAAGAACAAAAAAAAAATTTCCAAATCAGAAATAATACGTGTACATATTTTCATGTAATTTCCTTCTCCAACATTGTAATTTGCTAGTATTGACAAAGAAAAGGCAAATGTGAAAACAGATCTGAAGACAGCTTGATTCCTACTTTAGTTAAAAAAGAGACAACTAGAAATTTACACCATATATACACCAGACTTGGGGAACTTGCAATGTCAAGACCCTGTTCCTATAAGCAACTTTTTCACATCCTTTGAGAGTCCGTAATATGGTGGCTCAACACTTGAAGCTTTACTGAGAAAGACCCTATTTGAGCACAGATTTCTTATGCTGCTGGACAGTACTGATACAAAGAAGAACTACAAAAATATTGGCTCTTAAATCGCATGTTTAGATAACAACCTCTTAAAGCATCCACAAAATAGGGGTAATATGAGAGTTAGACACTTTCCAGTAGTAAAATAATGGAGACCTATCTCACAAGAAACACTCCACCAATACATGCTTTGCTTTCAGCAGTCTTTCTGTTTCTCTAAATTCTCTGAAGTCAGATAGCTAAAATCAAAACCTGTAAATGGTTTCACTGGATGTCATATTTCATGTAGTGTCATACACCTCATTTCAAAAACATTTGTTATGTTTTAAATCATAACAAACTTCTCAGACAGAAATACTTTGGAAAGYTAAGGTGGACTCTTCTGATCACGTGATACCACAGACACAAGATTTTAAGAAAGCTGCCTGGATTTCTTCCTAATAGAGGAATAGAGATGGGCATTTCTGGGGAGAAGTCTAAAACATAATACATTTGACTTATTTTGACTTCACACCTTTCACAAACAACTTCAAACCAAGCTCAGGAAAGCCAGTTGAAATGCAGATCTAAAGCAACAGATAGATGAAACCCACATCTGGCATTCAGCTGTTTCTATTTCCATGCTGTCTGAACAAGCTTTTTGCCTTGTTGAGCAAGGATTTTGACAAAATAACTGTTTATATGTAGAATTAGTCCAGTGAYTTGAATTTTTATTCACAGTATTTTTCTGAAAAGTGATCCTAACAAGCAGGCAGTTTTCAATTTTTCATCTGTTTACCATAAATCTCTCATGGGTTTATTTTGGTGCCATTTCTTTCCAATGATATTTATCTTAATTTTTATAGAAAACACAGTCAAGTATTGCTGTATTTAGAAAACCTATACACTTCTCAGACCTCAACTGTTTTTTCAAAAAATTGCTTTAAAGATTAGCCTTCAGATTTCTAATACAACAAACCTAACAAATTTATCATAATACAGCTATGAGATTAAAAAAAAAGGTTCAAAGGAAGAGTGCATTTACAACCTAGTTGTGATCATATTTTTGAATCATATTTGATTTTTGTGAATGAGAACAAAAATTATGATTTGAGGTATTACATAAAATACGTTTACTTTTATATGCATGTTCACATCATATAATTTCTAACTTACTCTGTACAGTTTCCAAGGTGGATGCCACTGAGGTTTGGGCATGGTTGGAGCCTTCTTTGGTACTAAYGCAGAATTTTTGTTTCCACCAGCTTCCACCATAGCCTGTAAGTTAAAAGAAGGGTTACTCTTCTGGTTTGTAGCTTTCCTCTTTGCCCAAAGCCTAAAACCTTCTCATTCTGCCTTCCCAACACTGATTAAATTTGGTCAGTCAGGAGATTTCCACACAACACACACATGGATCTAGAAGCAATCTGGTCAACACCATTTATTTTTCACATCAGATGTGCAACAGACTTACCACAGACATCCCAGGAGGTTGTGAACGCTCAGATATTCCAGCATGCCTGTAAATGTCACCCACACCAGCAGCTGTCCGGTTTGCATCCACCCTAGGGTGAACGAAAACGGTTGATGAACTGCAATACACTTGCTCTTGCTGAATGACAAGGTATCACAGGGCTGCATCCAGCTGAGTGTTGTGCATCTCTAAGGATGGAGAGTCCACAAGCTCTCATGGTACCCTGTGCAGGGCTTGACCACCTCAGGGTACACATACCCCCAAAGCCTCACATTCATCTCTTCTACCCAAACAAAATTTCCCTCGTCCCAGCTTACACTCGTTGCCTCTCATGACAGTACAAAACAAAAAAGATACAGAAAAACATGCCTGTCCACAGCAAAAGCAGTTTCTTTAAGAGTATTCTAATTACTCCAATGACTATCCCAGCTTCTGTGATTTGATCCCAGCTCTTATCACAACTTCTGTGAYTTGCCTTGAAATTCCCACAGATAACAACAGTGTCAATGAGATAACACAGCAGTACCTRGACTGTGAAGCAGGAAGTGCCACAGCTAAGGACTGTGCTGCAGATTCACTTGGCATCCTCTGGACCTTGGTATCTGCTGTCAAAGCCACACCTTGAAAAAAAAAAGTAACATCAGAAGCAAAGACAACTCCTTTAAACAGAATAATAACTCGTAAGTTATTATTCAAACATATATACAGGCAAACAAGGGCCTGACACACCTGTAATATGAAGTCTCATCCTTCAATAACATTTTCGTGTCCAATTCGAATCTACTGAAATCTTTATTTTGGCCCAAATACTTTCCACTTTGATCTACTACATATAAAAGTACTAAATAACTAGAGTATAAAACAGTATGTTCATATCATTGGAAACAAAAAAGAAAAAAAAGTCTAATTAGGAGTAGCATCCATCTTTTTATCCAGCTTCAACTGCTATGGAAASCCAAACATCACAGAAATAAACATGATCTTGTGAAGCATTTGCTAATTGAGGTCCTTTGGTACAATTTCTAACCCATCCCTATGTGGTGGTTGGCATCAAGCAGTGGTGCCAGAATTACCAAAGGTTTAGTCCGACTGAAGTGAGAATTTCAGACTACATTTTAGGATTTTAAACCTTATTTCAAGAATAGTAGATCTTTTAAACAAAACAAACCCAAACAATTAAAGTATAGTTGAGTTTTGGAGAAGACTGGTGAATTTAACTAATTGTTTCATTTCTTTTTCTAACCAAACTGCTGTCAGTTGACAACAAAACCAGTATTTGGGTGAAATACTCAGGTTTAAAACAAAAAACAGCGAAGAAATAAATCTGRTTTTTAACTCTGATAGATATTATTCTATTAAAAGAACACTAAAATCAAGGAAACTTAGCAATTCTCAACCCCACAGTTACAAGCAACAATGCCTGGCTTTTTAGTGGTTGAGGGTCCACTAAACACTTACATTTGTTAACTTAWAAATCAAGACACAACATATTTTCCACTACAATCATAATAAACTTAAGCACAATGAAAGATCAACAGCTAAACCAAACTCTTACAAGAACAGAGCAAGATTGATCAGTAACAGAAGCCATTAGTAATGGTCAATACAACAACACAGTAACACAATCCTTCTGAGCACGGACAAAATCAAATGACACTAAAATTATTAGACCCTAAAGTCTCTTTCTCAAAGCAAGGTGGTGAAACCTGCACTTTTCTGCTCTGGTGATGAAAAGCAGGCTACATTCCATTACTATCAAGTATGGAGTCACATCAAAAGAAAGCCTGCTTCTGCTAGGATGAAGGATGTCTTCTTCATACAGGAACACAAAAAATCTATGCAAACACTTGCAAAATTTTACTTACCGGGCCCAGAGGGGTATGGGTGTGTACCAGTTACCATATACTCAAGCTCTTGTSCTAAAGAACAAAAAAATATTGTATTAATGACTACATTTTATACTGCATGGCAAATTATGCACTCAAACAGCAAATAGAGGAAAACAGAAGAGGTCATACATAGCAGAAAAAACAGTAATTATTTCCAATGTACTAAGACATTTCTCATTTTCATTAATTTAATTTGTTCCGGTCATCTCCATTTTAGAAAAATCAATTGTAAAAAATAATTTATTTGAAAGGTGAAGCTACCTGTTGACAAGAGATCTCAAGAGGAAAATCTTACTACGTTTGAAGCAGAAATCATGGAAAAGAATTCAGTAATTCAAAGAACAAGGGTGTCTGAAATGTAAGCTAGTCAACTGGGTGTCTGTGTTGTCAGAATTAAAAAAGGTTCTTTTCTTTCTAAAAGATTTTTAATTCTCTCTCAACATGTTTCACAATACTTCCACCAAATAAAGTACCTTGGGCAACATCTCAACTGAGTACCAACTACCTCAACTACARTGAGGCAGGATTCTTAGATCTGTATGGGATCTACCTAATACATACACATTTTATACATCACAATGAAAAAGCCCTACCGATTTGAAATACAGTCTTTTCTGATTTAAATTTGCACAGCTAAAAATACTGTAAATATACTATGAAAGAAAATTAGAAGGAAAAAAAAAACATTTCAAGCAAACAAAAACCAATATATAAAAATGCCAAAACAAACAGAAGTCAACAGAAGAGCACGTCCTTGATCAACATTCATTTGCAAAGAGGAGAAATGCATTACACATCTCTTAAGTACAGCACACACCAACGTTATCAAAAGTTATTCTTTTTACCAATTAATCACTATCAAAAATCCACCACACCCAATAACTCCTTTGTTAAAACRAACTTTCTCCTTGCTCTGACCACTTACTTCCTGCGGACCCTAGCAAGAAAAATACGAATCAAAAAAGGTTTTTTTTTTAATTTCTCCAGTGGATTAACAGTGGACTGCATTCTTCAGATTTTACATCAGTGAAGTGCTTACAAAAGAAAGGACAAATATACCACTAAAAGCACACTAACCTTGATTTCCAGAATACTGTTTGTGTCCATAGGGATCCCCAGTGTTGGGGCCTCCTTTCTCTCTCATGTTCTCTTTGAGAGTGGGCATGTGTAGCACTGAGCCGTACTCTGTGCGCAGCTTCACTGMCATTTTCACCTTGTGACTGTGGGAAGAGTAAAGCATGATACTCATTAAACCCCAGTTTCTGAACTGTTAAAAAGTTCTGAAATATTTTAGAAAAGATGTCRTATCATTTAGAAAAGATGTAATACTCAATATTGCAACTCTAATATTTTTCTTCCCTCAAGACTAAACTGTTACAGTACAGAAACATCTGAATTTCTGGCTTGGGTGGAGTTACCATTAATAGAGTTAAAGCGTCAATGAATGCAGCAGCACTTACCTTTCTTCATCTAATGGGATAGGCTTGGCATTATCAGCTACGAACATGTCATGGGTTCTCTTCAGAGACCTGAACACAAGTGTGTGCACAGAATGCTTTTGCACTTCCTAAAATAAAGAGCATTAAATACATTTGAGCAGATTTAAATGATATCCTGGAAACTGAAAARTAAATTGAACTGAGTAGCAATTTCAAATCTCAGTTCTCTTCCATGACACGCAACTATTGCCAGCTCACATAACACATCTTCTTGGAAAATGAAAAGTTAAGTTTATTGGTTAATTGTTTTACTTCAGTGTTGATTTAAAACTATATTCCTTGGAAACTTGCAAGACTTTGAAAAACTAGCCAAAAACTTTKATCAAACTTTCTGCACTGGTATCTATGTGGCAAATCCATGAGTATACAAGCTTTTTTTCCCCCTCTCCTTTCCTGTTCTGTTTTTATATGCAGGAAATAAAGTAATCAATTCTGAAAAAAAAAAAACAAAAACCCAACAAACCAAACCCCTGTAAATTTTCCTTCACTATCACCATAAAAAGAAATTCATGGCAACCACAAATTTCTGCGTGCAGTACCATTTCATGTTAACATAGCTAATTACCACTCAACAACAGCAACTGTTGACAACACAAAAGGAGGAATAGGTAACACCATGTCTCCCTGATAGGGAAGAGGCTTCTGCAAGTATATTTTGACTGATGCTTTCCTGTAAAAAACCAGCTCATAATGTTACATGGAGCAGCAGTCATTGCACCTTCTATAACCCTGATATTCACCCCMATAGCAATGATTGTACAGCCTGTAAAACCAGCGCCCTTCCCCACAGCTGTACTCCCAGACCCTCACAAGGGAGGYTTCCCTGATGGGCTAACACAGTAACTCTGTGGCGGTTGAGCATCACAGCATCACATCCACACAACCACAGAATAAGCTGAGTTTGAAGGGATCCATAAGGATCATCAAGTCCAACTCCTGGCCCTGCACAAGACAGTCCCWAGAGTCTGTCACTGTGGGCATTGTCTGAACACTTCTTGAACTCTGCCAGGCTTGGTGATGTGACCCTTTCAATGGGCCTGTTCCAGTGCCTGACCACCCGCTGGGTGAAGAACGTATTCCCAATACCCAACCAAAAACTCTCCTGATACAACTTCGGGCCATTCCCTAGGGTCCTGTCACTGCTCATCACAGARATCAGATCAGTGCCTGCTCCTCTGCTTCCCCCTCGTGAGGAAGCTGTAAACTGACATGAAGTTTCCCCTCACTCTCTTCTCCAGGCTGAACATGACAAGTGTCCTCAGCCACTCCTCTATGGCTTCCCCTCTAGATCATACGTATTTATATACTTTATACCTTCTTTTTATATTATGGCACTCATAAYTGCTCCCAGCACTCGAGGTGACGCCACCCCTGTGCAAAACAGAGCGGGACAATCCCCTCCCTTGTTCGACTGGCGATGCTGTGCCTGATGCCCCCCAGCTCCAACTCGGCAGACGGCACAACTTYGGCAAAGCAAACCCGCTGCTCACTCCTGGCCCAGGCACGCACAGTCCAATGAGCCGCACCCTCTGCTTCCTGCGCGCATCTCGCTGTCCCCGGGCCGGACCGGGCGAGGGCTGCGCAGCTGCAGAGGCCGCCACGGTCCATCCCCACAGCGGCCTTTCCCACCCAGGGGACAGTGAGGGTGACGGGTGCGGGGCGGCGCTTCTCCCGCCCGACSCCGACCCGCCCTGCCCCACCGACCCGGCCCCGCTCCCTGGTCTCGCCCGGGACGCCTCAAGAGCGCGACAAAGTGAACGCACGGTACCGCTCCCTGCCCCTCACCTCCGCCATGGCGCCGCCGAGCTCCCCCCGCCGCGGCCACTATGGAGCCGCTTCCGGCGCCTTCCCGCGCCGCACCGGAAGTGGCGCACTCAGGAGGARCAGCTGAGGCGGTGATAAAATGGAGGGGCGAGGCTTATGGCAACCCCGCCCCTCGATGTCTGGGGACCGCGGGTTCGAGCCCCGCTGGCGCTACCGGACCCGGTGGTCCGAGTCCAAATGTGTATTTATTAATGTGTATAAATATCTAAAGGGATGGTGACAAGGGAATGGAGCCATGTTCTGCTCGGTGCGGCCAAGCAATAGGACAAGAGCCAACGGGCAGAAACTGATGCACAGGAAGTTCCACCTAAACATGAGGAATAACTTCATCACTGTGCCCGTGACCGAGCACTGGGACAGGCTGCCCACAGAGGGTGTGGAGTGTCCCTCACTGGAGATATTCAATAGCCGTGAACACAACCCTGTGCCACGTGCTCTGGGATGTCCCTTGAGCAGGGAGGTGGCACTCCTGACCCCCGGGTCCCTCCTGTGGCTCTGGGTGTCCCCGGCGGTGGCCGGGAGAGGGCGATGTCCCTCTGTGGGACAGGACCGGCGCTGCCCTGATCCAGCCCCGGAGCGGAGCSGAACGGGCTCTGGGCAGCTCCCTTTCGGCTTTGGAATTCTCGGCCTTGSCAACTGTTATGGGTCGTGCAGCTGCAGCTTTCAATTTTGGCTTTCCTTGTGAGTTCTCAAGGATAAAGCCACACAGTTTGGAAGCGCKGGCAAGTTGGATGTTAGCCATTGCATCTGATCCTTTGGGAAGAGTGTCTTTAGTTCGGCTCCACAGGACCTCATTTCGATGCAGGGTGAAGCTTGTGARCGAKCTGGCAACCCCTGCAGCTCATGGCWAAGTGTTGGTTGTGAARGGGCAGAGGTTGYTCTCTTCCTSATGTAMYCTGGTACTCCATGTGATTTTTCACTTCCTTTCAAAAGCAGAATGACCAAATGAACCTGTGCAAATTTCARATAGGCACCTATTCTCCATATATACTCATCTGCTCTTAAATCCAGGAAGTCTTGTCCCGCTGAGCATTAGTTGGGATTTGGCAAGTACATCCTTTGCACCCACTCCATTGCGATGCTTTTCTTTACTACTCAACTTTGGCTGTGTGCCTGCATGCCTGAGCTGTGAACCGTCTGCAACTTAAAAGTAATTAATTGTAATGTAGTTGTTTCAAACCTACCATCTTTATTAGCTGCAGGGTGGCATTAGCCTGACATTATTTTTGGCACATGAATTGCCTGCTTGGCATAAAGATTGTGTCCTTTCTGCAGCTGGTGGGTCATCTCTGGTGGCTGCACTGGTGGTTTATTTTTAGTTRTTTAGGATACCGTGATGGAAACGTTCTCTAAGGGGCTTTGACTGCTAGCTCCCGGTCTGGGTAGAGGTGGGGAAGAGGTGCCAATTACATTGTGTCATTAAAAGTGGAGMGCTATTGCCAGCTCAGTTTCAAGCCAAGGCAGCCAGGTTTCATGTTTAACATGACAGCCTGTTTTGGTAGACCCTCTGGTGATGCTGGCAATCCCTGCTGGATTTCAGAGCTTCCCGTAAAGGCCAGCACAGCACCTCGAGGGAAAGGGAGCATTGTCTGTCCTTGCTTAAAGTGCAACGTAGAGTGCAAACTCCACAGGGCAGTGTGTCAAAATGGGGCAAGTCTCTAATGTCCCCTTGGGCTGGTGAGGTTAGACTGAAAATATACAACATTTGAAAGAAAACCTGGGATGGAGGGTAGGGGATTTCAAACAGGTTTGTCTTTTTTTTTTTTTTTTAAGTTTACACTCAGTAACATGTGCCTGCTTGGTCACTCAGTTGGCTGGTGGATTTGGTGTATGGAAATGGTTTAAAGGCTAATCCCCAGCAACATACAGTTGTTTCCTTCCTATTGTCTGTTGAAAGAAATCAGAATTATTTTTACTGCCTTTTAAAGGGAAACCAAATTTGAAATATGTACTTGGTAGCAAAATTAAAAAAAAAATCCATTTATATTTAACAAGAAAAGTTGCCTGTGCTTTTTATTACTATTATTAGTTGTGTTCACATGGCCCCATAGTTGCTGTAGGTGTTCTCATTTTTTTAACGCGTAAACATTCCTCTCAGAAATTTATAATCTGAACTTGTTTCCTGGTATCCTTGTAATGCTTTAGAAACTCAGAGGATAAACATATCTTTTCAGAGTTTTTAGAATCCAATTAGAGGACAAATTTAATATTTTTTTYCCCAGAAGATTTAGTCTAAAGTGAGATTTAGTCCTGGAACATCAATAAATCATATCAGTAATATTAATAAGAATATGCACTTCATTAATTTTCTTGATCATATGTGGCTTCTTGATGTGTTCTCGCATGTCAGTTATACCTGCAATTCTGGAAATAGCAAACKATACCTTTTAATAAGCCCTATTTTGTAAAAGGTGATAGTAAGTTGTGTGAACTTTTGGTGTTGTATTAAAGCCAAAGTGAATAGCCCCACTTATTAATGTTGCTCCTGGAACACGGAGATAGTATTAATTATCATTTACAAGAAACCYTTGAAATAGTATTTGCTACCAGTAAAAACAAATAAAAAAAGGATGTCCATCTCAGCAGAGATGAACATTTAAGGTTACAATATTCTTCTCGTAGGATGACACTATTACAACACTAGTTGTTTGAAAGGACATTTCTAAATCAACAACTATTTTTAAACACTATAGCTCAATGTAAGCCAAGAAGATTCCGTTCCCCAAGACCTCTTTGTGGGATACATCCAGCTCTGGAGAGCCATGATCCAGTGACCACGAGTCGCCAGGGGCCGGGGGTTTGTGTAAAGAGGGTTGCATCACTGGCCAGCACGACAAATGCCAGGGCAGCGAGCAAATAGCCATTCCTCAAAACACACATACGCCTCTGCCAGTAAGTGCCTTTTTAGTACAAAAATACTGTACAGAGGGGTGTCCTGGAACACCACCAGATCCATGGTGTGTTATTGCAGTTCTAGCAGGTGTGTGGTGGTATCACGACCACATTAACTCTGGGGACACCTTCTCATTAACCATGTGAGTTGGAGGAGGGAGTATGAAGGAGAAAAAATAGGTTGTTCTGTTTTCAAGACGAAGTTTCTTGCATAGAATTTTTAGAAGAAATTTAGCCATAATTTCAGTTCTTCATAAAGCTTTATTCAATCCTTATAAAGTGTCAGCCAGACTGTTGCAAGCATGGGAGTGAAATCACATCTCATAACCAAGATGCTAATGGAGGTTAACTTCTGCATGAATGTGTGTATGTTTGCCAGCACGGAATCCTCTCTGTGCCGTTCCAAATTTGGACCATTTTTGCTGATAAAAGTCTCCAGGCACAACCTCTGCAGTGCAGACCAGGCCCTTGCTTAGCAGATAGACAATCCCACGATCCCTGCCCTGGGGCATCTGGTCATTTGGCGCGTAGCCGCCAGCCTGCTCTGGTGTGACACACACGTGCTGTTCGTGGAGAATCCTTATGGAGACACAACCATCCAATTCTCCTGGGGAAGCCAATGAAAAGCACTGGAGCTGGGAAGATCAAAGGCTGAGTTTCAAAGGGGAAATCCCATCTGAAGGCAGAATAAGCCTGGGGTTTTCCCATGCTGGGACTCTGCAGCTGGCTTGGAAGATCCCACGCCAACCTTGTCATCTGGTCTCTGACAACCTCTGCTCAGACACAACCAGGAGCTGAAGAGTGCTTAATGCCTGAAGGAGGACATCATAAATTACTGCAGAACATGTTGATGGTTTCAAAACAGATTTAGTGCAAATATCATATATTTAATTAAGATTTGTGTCAACTGAGCTGGGATAATTTGAATTTCTAGCTCAGGACTAGTGAGACCTACTTTTAGTTCTGCTGTACCACGAGCTACTTGTAAGCCCTGGGCAAAAGTTCAAGATGACTCTGTCCCTTCCATATATGTAAGATGAGGGTGACTGAACTTCTCTCAGTGTACATGGAGGGAGAACTGTATTAAAAGTTAGGAGATTCCCAGAATCAATGATAACAWCTTGGCTAGCATCCATAAGTGGAAGTAACTTGTTAATGATGTCAGTTTTGGCCTTAGACAGATTTCTTTAATGTCTGTAGGGAGAATTTTGTGTTCTTCCAAATCKAATTGTGTTGGTGATGTCCTCATGCTRGAGATCAAATTCAGCRGAGTTTTAGCTCYTTGAGCCATGGCTGATTTTGGTCCAAACTTTTTAATGATTAAACCGGTCAGGTTAAACAGTTTTATTTTGTGACTCTCCATAGTTTACTAGAATTCTGAYAACAGCACGAGTACAGGAAAAAGGCCTAAACCAAGCAATTTTAGCTGCTCTTACCTTTACTTCCCATGAAATCACCCCCTTCATCAAGTTAGTCTTTGAAGKGGAAGCTCAGACCACAGTTTGCATCTCTTCACAGGTTCAGATATCAATATGAATGACTTCAGAAAAGTGTTCTGGCTCTCACTTGGCACATTTTATTTAATTCAGTACRTTATAATAATTATGATGCATGAGAAAATCATAGGATATAAACACACTGAAATGTTAAAACTCTGCTAATATGACAGCAGTGATATGCAACCTCTTACAAAACATTAGAAAGTGTGSTTGAGTATTCCCTATGATTTCAAGTAAATTCATGCTGTGTTCTCTTAAAATATTATTTGAAAAATGTAATATTGTATTAAAAAAAGAAACCAGAAAATTAATATGTAAAATTAAATTATTTTAGTTCATTTACAATACTACAAGTCTATATTAATGGAATAATGTTGGTTTGTGCTAATAGTATTCATCTGATCTTGAATAAATCAAAACATTCTTTTGTTCAAAATAATTAATGTAGTGAATATAATAAACTTTTTTTTTATTTTTTACTTTTCTTGAAAAAGACACAAAGATTTGCATACCTATCAGGTACCACCAGAACTATTTGCAAAAATGCAGCAATCTGTATGATGTGAGTTGTCTTCACATTTAATACTATATTTTTGAAACATTCACAGTTTCAGCAGAGAAAAAAAAAGGAGCCATCACAACATG